GTCCTCGCTTATCTCGCAGATGGGGGAAGAGCCGTGGAGCAACCCGGAGAACTGCTCGGGAACCGCGATGTCCGGCCCGTCGGCTGAGTCCTGGCTGCGGCCGCCGCTGCTCCGCCTGTGCTCTTGGAGGGGAGGAAAACAGGAAAAAATATTAAAAACAGGGAAGCAGCAGCAAAATCCCAGCTCTTCCCCTGCCCCCCCTCAGCGAGGGAGGGAGAGATAAAGCGAGAACAGTTCAGCATTGTTCCTAGAGCTCGACTTGTACCCAAAGTCGTGGCATTTATGAAATTCCAAACACTGGCCTGATTTATGCAATCTGGCAGCTCTCCTTGTTGTTTTATTCCTGTTAACACTAACTATCAGGCCTTGCTATATAAGGCTAAGAGAAGTGCTAACTATATCCTGCCGAGAGAGCAAGCGAGGTAGGAGCCGCGCGGCCGGAGGCTCCTGGAACATTTGATACTTTTCCATGAAGGCCAGAGTGTTATTTAGAGCTCCCGCCTTTTGGCACCAGCTGCGGGGTGGGAAAACTCCTGGCCTGCAATCAACCTGCAAGGTCCAAAATCCTCTCCCTCCCCCAGAGAAACACAACTTTCCTCCCTCACAGTTTTAAACCTCTCCTCCTTCCTCAGGGGAGAGGAATAAACAGTTTATGCCATAAAAAAAAGTCTGGATTGAAAAGCTTTTCTCCTAGGAGCTCTGCACCAAATGCAGCACGGTGGGAGCTGCGAGCGCTGCCAACTGCCCCAGAAATACGACGCCGTTTCGCCGCTACCATCGCACTAATGTCTTCAATATCAGGTACCTGATAAATAATTCCCTGGATAAACCATGGTAACTGCCTGATCGCAGCTGCCAAGCACGTGCATCCTCACCCTGGGCACACACCGTGCGTGCTTTCTAATTGCAAAAGCAAGACTCCGGGCAGCTGGGAAATACAACTTCTGTTTATCAAGGCTTCCTATGCCGGACTGTACCTGCTTGCAAGCGTAGTGGCACAGAAGCATGTTCCAGGCCAGGGACAAAAACACATCCTGCAAAGGAGCAATAAAGCAAAGTCCCCCAGTAACAGTGGGGTTATCCAGAAATGCAAGAGGAGGTTCAACTGCAAAGAGGCATTTGGTGGGTTTCTGACGCAGCAGGAGCTCGAAGGCCTCTTCGTTTCAGCGGGGCAGAGCACAGTAATGAATTTTAGCTATCTCGAGCCGCAAGCAGCTTGTTGGCAAGAGCAGCGCGATGAACTCATGCGTCCCAGGCCTCCTCTCGCGCGAGCCCTCGCCAGGTCAGGCCCAGCACGTGTGCGCGCAGCGTGTCCTCACGCCGCAGCTCCGCGTTACTCATTCCTCCCCGGGAGGCCGCTCGGGCCGGGCGCTCGGACGTTGCTCACGGCCGCGGCTCTGCGCTCGCTTGGCGGCCTCGCTGCCACCGGGGGTAAGAGAGGGCAGCGCCGCGAGGGTGCCCGGTGATCCCTGCAGCTTACGGGTTAAGAGATTCCAGCACAAGGAGACGGTTTTGGGGCGTTTTTCCGCCGTGTCGGAGCGCACGCAGCACCGGCTCTGGTCAGGGCCCGTGGGGAGGCCCGGCCTCCGCAGCAGGAGGTGCCTCTTGGACCCGTGTCACCTCCAGCAGGTCTCGGGGGGCAGCACCTTCTCGTGTGGCCTCAGCATGGGTCCCCGTTCAGCTCTTTTGCTCCTGCTGTAACACCAGGAGGAAACCTCACTGCTGCTCAGCCCTGCTGTGTTTGCAGGATGCACCTGCACGAAGGAGAAGTTCCATGGGGACACTGCCCGCATTGACCGGACAGTCACATCAAGCTCAAGGCTTTGGCAGCTTCCACAGCCTTTCTCCTCAACCCCTTTCTTTCTTTAAAGAGCATTTCTTCCATGCCCCAGATTAACATCTAGTGACATTTCTGCTGGAGGCGGAAGGGCGGCTGGTAGGAGCTCACGCCGCGTGCTGGAACGCCTGGGCCCGGCCAAAGCGCTCCAAACTCTCACAAAAGGACTCCTGTTGTGCAGAAATCAGGCACCCGATTCATCCTCTCGAGCCAATGCAGAGGCACTGGGAAGCACAAGGCCGGAGGAACGGCTGAAGCAAGGGTGACAACGCCTGCATGGAAGATGCGAGCATGGGATGCAAGGACCATCCCGATGGAGATGCTCCCGAGCACGCGACACAGGCTGTCCTGCAAAGTGTAGATAGGGGAGCGTATGTAGGAGTCGAAGAGCGATCTTGTTCCTTGCTGCCCAGCACCCCTGCAGCTGGGAAGGCCTCCTCAGGCTGCACCTCTTCCCCATCTCCAGGTACAGACCGTACCTGTACATTCCAGCTACACCCTGTACACTTCCAGGTACAAACCGTCTGCTTCCCTGCTGATTCAGAGCTCCCCAACAGCAGTCTGGTGATCCCAGGTACAAAACACTTCCCCAAAAGGGTAACACTAACTCAGGGATGCTGCCTTGGGCAGTGTGGTATCCCTGTGTAGCACCAGGATTTTGTTTCATGCCCCTGGATTAGGAGAATCAAGCTGCTATTGCAGCTGCTTTCTGCTGAATTTCCCCAACCAGTGAGGGCATATGTTGGCCTCAGTTTTTGCCTACAAAATGTTTCCCATGCTACATGATGCCAAAATTTGTGAAAATGGGAGCATGAAAATCTATGTCCGGTGGCATAGAAGGCCAGGAGCGAGAGGGATGCTAGCCTGCAGAGTGTTAACTTGGAAGCACCAAAATAACCTTCAATTGCACAAAGCAGAAGCACAAAGGCTCATTTAGAGCGAGGTACTGTGTGCCAAATCCAGCAAATTGCAGCATGCACATGTTTTAGTCTCATCACCTCATTTGTTTTGGGCAGAGTTTATCCATCAAAAGCTACCTGAACTTGTGATCATTGGTACTACCCCCCTTCTTCTCCCTTTAGGAGAGATAAAGCGACATCACCACTGAAGTTGGATTAAAAGGACCCATTCTCCAACGATGGCACAACCTAGGAGAAGGCATGTAGGCTGTGGTTCTGCATTACTATTTGATGGCAAATCAAGAGGTTTCTAAGCACTGCACCCTTTGGTTGCACCCAAGTCTCCCCATGGATATCCAGGGATAACCACTCTGCGGTTCCACAGCCAAACTCTGGCTCCATAAACACATCTACTTTCCTAATCTCTCCACAGCACATGCTTGTTTTATCATTGGGCCATTTCAGAGATCTGGTTTAGAGGACAGTCAGAGCTGGTTGAATCAGGACAACCACAGAGGAAAACTCCAGCAGGAGGAAGGGAAGGGTAGGAAATTCACATCGGACTTGGCATCAAAGCAGCACGACAGAACCACGACAAGTGTTGGTTGCTAATATGTATCAGAAGGAACCAAGTCGATCCTACCTGAGGCTGGTTACTGCTCATAGCATTTGTGGATGACTCTCCTGGGGAGCAAGACGGACATCAGAGCTCAGAGGTACTTTTCCCATTCACCCTCCATCCGTTTTTCCCTAAATGCAGCCGGAGTTGCAGCCTGCTCCCAACCAGCGCTCACACTGCCCCTCTTGGCCTCTTCACAAGTCACGTTACAGGCTCTGAAAGCCCTGACTTCCCGCTCGAGATTGCGCCTGGTTTCCTTTACCAAAGGAGATGGAAAAGAATTTGGCTCCAACCACATCTGCTGCTCTGCCCAAAGCACGAGGCCAACTGCTCCCTGCGCTCCAGCACGTGACGGCGACGTACACAAAGGGCAACCAAAGCCCGGCGGATAATGTCACATTCATCCAGCCGCTGGATACGAGACAACTCGGAGCAGGACGGACGCAGGCAGCGGGCACGCAGGGAAGGCACCGCTACAAACAGCGCCGGGAGCTCTGCCCCAGGCTGCCCGCTGGGCCCTTCTCAGGAGCCCATGGCACTCGTGTGTTCCTCCCACCAAAGGCTCCTCTGGGACAACCTCTCCAACCCAAGCCCTGGCTGCAGTTCTTTCTTGCTGTAGATTGGACAAGATTTGTCTCAGGCTCCCTATGTGGCCAAAGAGGCTTCCTTCAACTTCTCCACGCGATGCGGCTTGCGGTGCCTGCAGCACTTGGATCTTCTGGAGTTTGGGGGAGAGATGTGCACCAAGAACAAGCAGATCCAATACTTTGCTATTATATTTTATCACAGCTGTAGCTACAATGCACCTTCCCTCACATTAAACAAGCCTGGGCACCACAGCAAGAATTGCACTGAACAACCAGCAAGAGCTGCAGGAGGATTGAGCCTGGAGGCTGTTGATCCAGCGGCTCCAGGACTATTCCTAGTCAGGGCTGCAAAGCACCGAGCTGGGCAGCATCGCGGCTTTGCCTCGGGCACCAAGGGGCTTTGGCAAAGGCTGGTGGGAACGCAGCGACCTCCTGTGCCCTCCTAGACCAGCTGGGAGTACAGCAGGACCCACGGAATGAAAGCGAGCACGCTGCAAAAAAAAGGAGAAAAAGAAGAAAAGAAACCTGCAGGTCTTACAGGCGAGTCAATGAGGCATCACGCCGAGGCCTCCCTATACTCTGGTCATCCTCGAGATGAAACGGTTTCCAGGTTTAGAGTCCTAACCAAATCCTTCCAAATCCCTGCTCAGGACATTTGAATAAAGCAAACGGTGGTTTCTCCTCTAAACAAACCTTTTGTTGCTGCTGTTGACGGAAAGCCAGAAAGCCCAGTGACAGCCA